TTAATTTCTTCTTTAAATAGTGTATTTGGCAAGAGTTCAAACGTAAGCTAGTTTAGCAGAAATCGCTACCCATTGGCTAGGGGAGAAAAACGTCGCGAGAAGTTTTCTTGCTTAATCCTGATTATTTTTGAGCCAGACTAGGAAAGAAGCTTAGTTAGAGACTCAGCTACTATGATGTAGTGAGAACTCAGAAGTCATGTTTTTCTGTGGGCCCCTCTTTGAGGCTAATCTCTTTTCGTAGACCTTTTTGATTCACCAATGCAAAAAGTTCATTTTTATGCATTTTAGTTTACGAGACGTTTTTTACAGCAAAAAAATGCTAATATTTCGTTGAAAAGCCGTTCATGCATACCATACCTTTTCAGCCCAACCGGTATGCCATTGTAACTTCGTGTGATTAAGGGCCTCATTTTTACCAAACCATTCCACCCTCATAAAGGCCGATCCGGGCTCGCTCATTTCTGGCATCAATACGATTCGGCATTGTAACCCCTACAAAGCACATGAAGTATTCGACTACTACAATTGCCCAAAAAGGTCTTACCTTCGGTAAAATTCTTTCAAATGCAATTTGAAGTCTGCTGGCGATGTCCGTCGCCGCGTTCGCTGAGAGAAATCCGGCACGTTCTAGGACGTCCCGGGGTGTTTCGCTACGTAGCATTTCAACATCAGTGGTTGAGTAGCCGGCAGAGAGGTATAGCCCTAAAAGTTCGGTATTTTCACATCTAAATTTAAATTCAAATCGTAAACCATACCAGGGTACACTTCAGGCATTTCTTCCGGTAAATCACATATAAAATTGCCCGATTCACAAAAACATGCTCCACGATCACGAAGAAACAACCTCTCCCCGAAATCTGAAGAGAATTATCACAAGAAATTTATTCACAGCTTAGCTTTTTTAACAAAAACCCTACCGACTGCTGTCAAAGGCGCCTCACACCGTCCATCTTCCAAACATGGCAATCGCTCACAGGTCAGTTTATCTTCGGCCAAACATTCACACCATGATGAGCAGCGCCCTGACCAGTCCACGTATCTCTTGAATAGTTATAATTAAACAAGGTTTATGTGTTTGCTTCCAGATTATTTTGATTTACCCTTATGACGGAGCCAATGTGAACAAAAATTTGCCGGCCACTAGCATCCTTAGCAGTGCATCCTTCTAAAATAAAGAGATTTAAAATACTTCATCTCGAATTACACAAAATTATTTGCCTTATGTATATAAACATTGCTGATTGATAAAGCTCAAAATTAAATGATTCACAAAAAGTATTGAGATTTTTTTCGTTCTATAGGTTACGTTCAAAATAGAAGAACAGTTATGGGGTGAAAGTAAGATCATAAACCACTTCAGATCTGCGCGATATCACTCTTCCGCCATACCTTTGGGTCTTAAATTCTTTGGGAAACTCTGCACTACTGCACGCAGAAAAAGTCCCAAATTTATGTAAGAATTCCTCTGCAATGCACCCAGAACATTTTTTGCACAGCTGTGAATGTGCTTGGAGAAGAATGATTGAAGAAGTATAGTCATATAGTCAGTAGTTAAAAGCAGAGCACTTTGCTACCTTTGGCGCGCCTCCTAATATTGATCAGACAAGCATACGCGTAAAGGCAGCGACTAGCGCAACGGGTATTTGCGCCATCGCAGGCACAAATCCATAATTTCTACCATACCATCTTTTTGATTTTTGTTTTAAGTCCCTTTAATAAACAGATGATGCCAAGCTTTAGATATAAACAAGACCTGGTGGTGGAGGTGCATGTGTCACAAATGTCGTTGTGGTAGTTGGCGGAGTGGTCGTTGTGGTTTCCCAAGGTGGTGGTGGTTCTGTTGGAGGCAATGGCGACATTGTTGTGCGAAATTTAGTCTTGCGTCTTCTAAACATGTATAAGA